CGCATGCACGGAGAGAACATGCAAACTCCACCCAGAAAGGCCCCTGGACCAGGGTTTGAATCGGGGACCTGCTCGCTGAGAGGCAGCAGCTCTACCAGTTGCGCCACCGTGCTGCCCGAAATTACAACGTCACTGTTAGAATGAAGATTATTGTTCAATAAAAAATATGACATGTCTTATTTAACACTGTTCGTACCAAAGTTTAATTTAGAACAACATGTGTGATCACTGGTCAGATCACTGGTCAGTGGAAGTTATGCTGTTCTTCTCATCTGGTTCTGGTCCATGAACAAATGGTTGAACCTCCTTCAGTCTCACACGTTCTCACTGTCTCTCAGTCTCACACGTCCTCACTGTGTCTCTGTGAACTGTCCTCTCTCTAAATGTGCCTGTAGAGTGACATTAGTTTATTTTCTTGCACATTTCTTTGACAGTTAAACATTTTGAGCCCTGATTGAAAATGTTTGTGCAGATTAAATTTACAGCTCTCACTTTGTGTTGTTGTGATGATGATGATGGTGCTCCTGCTGACTTGAGATGATGTCATTAATAAACAGTATAAATAGTAGTAAAAGTACTTTATTAAAGCTTGCTTTACATTTTACATATTTTATAATTGTTTGGAAATTTATTTTTGCACAGTTAACACTTATTTTGTCATCTGTTATGATTTTAACTAGAAACAGTTTCATTTAAATTAACATTTTAATCAATGAATTACAATTTTACAATAGTTGTCAGGCTACAATCAACTCAGTTACCAGGTACTTGGTTGCCATAAAAAAACGACAAATACAACAATTATATTCAGTCTCTCTTGTAAATGAGTCCTCGTGGCTCAATGGGACGAACCTGTTTAAATAAAGGTTGAATTAATATCTTCTATAGAAATCAAGAATTCATCCAGATGATCTGAGGTAAGCTGGAGCAGATCTGAACTACATGGAGGACAAGGTGGAGCATTATCATGCAGAGAACATCAGCTTTATAACAGGTGTTACTCTGATCTTTTTTAACGTGTGTAACGTTATAAAACACTGATATGGCTATATTGATCATTGTATTGCATATACATTTTTTTCTAACAAATATGTGTTTGCAGTCTCGTTTCCTTCTAAAATTTAATGATAAATGTATCAGCCGCTTCTAAAAATGCTTTGATAAAATGCATAGTCTGTGAAATAATCAATAATCGGTTCAGTAATCAGTTCGTTACTGCTCAATAATTACTGAAAGACGTCAGGTAAAGTAAGAAAAGTCGATTTTTGTGTTATGTTGCGCCAGCAGCCGCTCAAACTGACTGACAGCGATGAGCTTTTTGGAACTATGGGGAGCTGCATGAACCACGTGACCGCGTATCGGCGAGTTCAAAGAGTGTCGCAACTCTCTCTTTACAGGGCTCTGGACATAAATATTTAACATGCAGAGACGAGAATCCCACATGAAAAACACATTTCCATCTACAAATTTTACATAATTAGATGTAGGTGTGTTGAGGGAGGAGTTGGGTATTCTCATGTGCATTCAATTCTACGTTGATTGAGATGTAGAAAGGAAGTATGCTTAGATTCATGTGTACGCACAGTTTCATACATCTGGATTTATTTGCGCGTACACTTTGCTGATTTAAGCGTACGCCATGTTTCAGTAGGAAATCCAGGCAAGTCTTTGTACATGAGACTCCCGGGCATTTGAAGTGTCAAACTCTGATGTCATGACAAAAGGCATTTAAAATATAGATTTGTTAAAACAAATAGTTCTCAAACTGTGGGGCACGTCCGCCTGGGGAGGACCAGGGCTGCACTGGGGGGCCACGATGTCACTGAAAGTTTTTTTTTTTCCTCTGGCCTGAACATTTAGCAAACGAAACAAACTGCAATGCCTTGTTGCAGCTTGAACCTATTTTAAGGAGTAAGCAAACAAACATTTAGAAATTACTATACAAAGTAGTTGTTGTTGTTTCTCACTTTAACAGAGGTCAAGTTTGTTACTGCTGAAATCAAGGATTTTAATCAAGGATTGCTACACTCAGTTAAGTCATGTTTTTAAGAAGATACTAGGGAGACGTCTGTCACACATTTAATGTGTTGCAGCTTCATGTCAACCCAGCTGAGGTGAGTTCTCCACACTTAGATGCAGGCTTTGTTTCTCTCACGTTGCTGCAGGACAGGTGTTTTGGCAGAACGTGGTTGAGCGCGCACAGCCTGTTTGAGTCTCTAGTCGTTTCTGGTGCATTAGTTCTTAAGAGTCAAACAATATTAACACTAAAAGATGCATATTTGTTCACCCATGACAGTAGCAAAGGCGTCAGTTTTTAACTTCAGTTTTGTTTTTTGTTTTTCCCAGAACTCACAATGATCTATATGACATTGCTCTGTGAAAGTGTTACATTTTCAAGTTTGTAGTTTGTTATAAATGGGGGCGTGGTTGCGTAGAGGTTAAAAAAGGCAAGTCTGTAATCAGAAGGTTGCCGGATCAACTCCCTGGACCAACAACATCAAATGTGGTTAGGAAAGACGATGCATCTACACTTGTCTCCACCCTCACTTGCCCCATTCTGGGCCATTGAGCAAGGTCCTTAACCCCCACCATCTGCTCTCCCGAGCACCCTAGATAGCAGCTCTCTGCTCCACACAGAGGGCTGTGGTAGATTGGTGGTCTGTGGTTGCGTCAGGAAGGGCCTCCTGGAGTGGAAACAATCACCAAGTCTTCGTGCAAGTTAGTTTGCTGTGGTGACCCCTGAGGAAGGGAGCAGCCAGAAGAAGAAAAATAAAAAAATAAAAGTAGTTTGTCATAAATATCTTCAAGTTTTGAGTATTACACATGATTATAGCAAAATAATCAAGTTTTTTGTAATTTGTGTGATATGTCCATTATTAATATATGAAACCATTTTTCCCCCTGCCCTATCAGAAAATCTGGGCATGGCACATGGATATTTAATGCACCAAGACATATTGATTTTGTGCACAGTTCTGGTAAACCTACCTAGTTACAGAGAGTTTGCTCAGTTCTATGGTTGATATTAAAAGTGTATTTCTTAAACGGCAGACATGCATGTCAGGCTGGACGAGTTCCAGAATGTTTTTCTTGTCGCTGCAGCAGAAAAGTGACTCTGAATCAGAATCAGGTTAGTGAAGAAGGTGATTAATCCAGTTGGTCTGGTTTAATGGTTCTGAAACATTTAATTCCACAGATCAGATAAGATCATGGAAACATCATGCTGGTGTGGCGTGATCTTTAAACTGTCTATTGGTGCAGCCCAAAAGCGTCATACCTAGTGAGGAGTGCAATCTAGAGTGAACATTGTGATATTGTTAAGGGAACGCCATGTAAATATACAAAGTGTGATGAAGGCGCAGGAGAGCATAATGGTGAGACAAAAAAAGCAGAAATCAGTGAATCCGGGGTTTGATCCCAAGTTCCTGCAGCTTGCTAAAGTGTCCTTGGCAAAAGACACCGTACACTCCAATGCCCATTGGTATGCTTATCAGTTTATAAGTGAAAATAAAAAGGGCTGTGTGACTGTGAATGTACAAAAGAGAAACTGTAAATTACTTTGCAGAACTGTAAGAGGTTAAAAAGGTGGTAACTGGTGGTGTGGAACTTTTACTATTTACTGTACTACTGCCTTCACAATAAAGTGGTTTTCCAAATGTGCTGCGATTCAGCCATGTTTTAGAAGACTGTGTAGGTCATCGAGTTATTCCAGTGTGAGCAGGGCATATTGAATCAATCAGCTCTGTCCAAACCTTCTTGTTCTATGATTTTTCTAATAAACAGCTTCAGCACAAAGTAGCTTTTTGACTCAGTGATGGAATTAAATTAAAAAATGTATTAACCTTTATTAAACCAGGCAAATCCCACTGAGATCACAGATCTCTTTTACGAGGGAAGCCTGGGCCTGAAGGCAGCCTAACATGCATGCTTTTGTACTGTGGGACGAAACTGGTGTTAGAGAATTTTTGGTCAAAGTTTATGGATGTTTTTATTACTATGACTAAGAATCTTATATCTGCACATGAACCACATGTTTGGGTTAGTGGTTAAGGCTGAGTGAGGAACTGGGTGAAGCTGCAGGATGCAGCTGGCTCCAAGGACACCTCCAGGTTCTGTGAACTCGGCTGAACTAATAAGGATATAAAAGCAAGCTGAGGGGGCAGCTCGAGGCAGATTCTCGTGACTGGTCTTCATGTGTGTACTTCATGTATATTTATGTAATCTGTCCTGAAAATCTGACCTTGCAAGTACAATCCTGGTTAAAGATCTTCTCCTGCCATCGAGTGCAGTTTATTTTGACTAAGTAAGATAAGCGAGAATATTTTTCTCCAACAACTGGAGTACCCGGGGAAAATCCATGCAAACACGAGGCATATGTGCAAACTCCACACAGAAAGTCCAACCTGAACTCACTAAGCCATTGTGCTGCCAAGATATTCCATTTAAATGAACAGGATTTCAATTGTTTTTGTTTCGGCTGGTCCTTTCTTCATGGGTGGCTACAGTGAGAAAACTTGCAGAAATTTGGCAGTAGTTTTTACGCCGGATGCCCTTCCTGATGCAACCACTGTCCAACCCAGCCCATGTGGGAAGCAGAGGGTTACTATCTCAGGCACCCAGGTGAGCAGATGGGGATAGTTAAGAGCCTTGCTCAAGGGCCCAGAAAGGGGCAAATGTGGGTGAAAGCAGGTGTTGGTGATTCACCTTCACCCACATTTTGATACAACGGTCAGGGGATTCGAACCAGCGAGCTTCAAATCACAGGTTCATTTTTTCTAACCACCTACCTGTTTTCAATAGGCATTTTTATTTTTCAAAAGTAAAAGTTAAAATCTTTTAGAAGGTCTTAAAATTATGTAAAATAACGCAGCAATAAGATAACAACACAAGCAGTTCTAGGCAGATGTTATACTGCATACCACAGGATAATCTGAGACATTTGACCAAATACATAAATACCATCAAACCCTAATGTATAGATAATTGTAATCAGGTCGAACCTCTTTCACATGAGCATCATCAAAGTACATCCATCTTCTGATTTTGGTCTGGAAGAAGAAGGTGGAGTAGTGTTTCCCGTAATAACAGACCATTCCTACCAGGTAGAGCTCTGACTGTCTGGCTTTTTCCTCCGTCACTCTGTAAAACAGCTACAGAGAAAAGATGGGCTCATCATGAACGCTGATGACACTCAAGTTTATTTGTTAGATCTGGTTCTGCTCCCAAGTCTTACATCTCCAAGACGCAGGCAGGTTCCCAGCGTGTGGATGACGTCCTCAGCCAGATCTGAATGATCAGAGTCCCAGACCAGACCGATGGTGATGATCTCTGGACTGTTGAGGAGGACACGAGCCATGCGAAGCTGCTGACCACACTGACTCTGAGAAGAGGAGACAGATGTTAAATCTGAGATTCTGAAGAACCAATTCATGTTTATCTGTGTGAACTGAAGCCTTACAGGACAGCTGCGCAGGTCTCCCATGCTAGCGTTTCGTAGCAGTTCTCCAAACATGCTTGGAGTTGCCTTCTCTCTTGACTCCAGCATCTTCACAGCCTGGTTACTGAGGAAGATGAGGAGGAAAGAAGTTTGTACTAATCTGCATATAGAGAAGCTGCAACCCCTTTGAGTTGTGGACCTCCCAAAGGGTATTTTTGGGACACATTGTATTTATTGCATTTGGGATCTAATTTTAGAAAAAATATATTTTTATTGCTTTGCTGGTTATATCTAGATCTAATTCACAACTGAACTAACTGACAAGAAATTCTAGATAAACTTTCCAAGTCTCCAAAAGAACAAAGAGTTTGGTTTAGGTGATTTCTTCAACAAATGTGTTTGACCTCATAGGTTCATGTACAGTAGTCCCTCGTTTATCGCGGGGGATCCGTACCATAAAGCCCTGCGTTAAGTGAAAAAACGTGAAGTAGGAATAGTAGTACAAGTAGTAAGTAGTAGTTTATTTTAATATATATATATATACATATATATATATATATATATATATATATACACACACACACACACACACGCACACCATACTTTCAGCTGCATTTCAAAACCCGATTTGCAAAAGCGTGCACGCGCAGGTGGACGAACTGCTGTTCATTTCTTCGAAATTTAACAATATATAAATCTAAAAACATTTATTTGTTTGCTTGACGTTGTAGCAAAAGTGTGTCTTAGTCTAACTTTTGCTTAATATGTAAATGCACTTTGAAGGTCAAATCAGCTGCATTTCAAAAGCCGATACGTGGAAGTAGGAACGCACAGAGGGATGAGCCGCTGTTCATTTCTTTGAAATTTAACAAGATTAGCACCTAAAACACTTATTTTTTTGCTCGACATTATAGTAAAGGTGTGTCTCAGTTGAACTTTTACTTAATAAATGCACTTCAATGGTCAAATTAGCTGCATTTCGCCAGGGCAGTGCAGCAAAATGAAGCCGATTTGACAGTTGCTCCAAGCAGCGTGCAGAACGAAGGTGGCAGTCTATGGCAAGCTGACTGAGTCATTAATAGCTGGTGAAGATTCTGTCATGCAGAACATGGTACATTCAAAAACAGTTCAAGACAAAAACAATAAAGTATAAAGTAAAGTATAACAAATAAAGTCCAGTTGTTTTGTCTTGAACGTTTTTTAATTTGTCATTATAGCCACTTTTACCTATTACATGACATAATGGCATGCCTTATATCGAGTGCCATTTAGCAGCTGAAAATGGTAGTGTTCTATTTTTTCAGTCAGAATGAATGAAAACTGTCATATCTCAGCCAAAAATTGGTTTATAAATGAGAAAAAAAATCCATAAATACATCACTTCAGCCTATAAGTCACAGGGCATGCAAATTATGCAAAAAAACGTGACTTATACAGCAAAAAATACGGCATATATAAAGGTATTTTAAACCCTTCCCACACTCTTGCAATATTCTAAACGCTCTAAAAGAGCACAGAATGTCATGATCTTGCTCTCTCTGCCTCCAGCTGCACTCTGCCACCTGCCAGCGCTCTCGGCCACGCCCACTTCTCCACAGCAGAGCAGATATCTGACACTGCAGGAGGAAGCTTCTCCTGCAAGCTGTGGGCTGCATATAGGTGCAGCAGGTGCTAAATAAATAACAATAATTTATTTTAAATAAACAATCCATGTTGATCGTGTGGCTCATCCATCAATCAACCAGTTGTGTGTAATGTCCAATCTTACTTTGAAAACCCACGATAGAGCGAGTCTGCAAAAAACAAACCGAGTAGTAGCGAGGGACTACTGTATAATGTTTTCGGCCCAAAATGTTCTAAAGATGCCTGAGGGTTTAAGGCCTGTTAGTCCCACTGTGGACCAATTATTTGCTTTCACACCGTAATGAGATATACATTTCTTCAAGGTGTGTTAGGCCTTTAATTTATTGTAGTCTGCTTTTTCCACATATTTTTACCTTTGTTTAAAAAGCATGACCACATCATTTTGGTTTTGGGATTCTATGCTTGTTTCCAAAAATATGAGAAGATTTTATTTTGTAACTTTAAAAACACATTAACAGAACGAGCAGTAAGTTATTTAGCAGATGTTCAACATTCAAACTCAAGTTCTGTAGCCCACGAGTCACTTCTTTCCTTTCACATCTCACAGAATGTGAACCCATTTAAAACATTGCTTGAAAGACACCTCTTACCTTTGACTTTTGATATGAGTAAAATAAGAAAACTTCACAGATTCTTTCCATTTTGTACTGCATTTATTCTGTTATCATTAGAAAAATTAATAGGAACACAGCTGGTTGGAATGAACAGCTGGAAGATGACTGCACATCTTCTGTCTGAGCAGCAGAAACTCCTCAGGCATCATGATCAAACATGTCTGTTGCCTAGGTGACGCTGCCGTGTTGCCTTAGCGACCGCAGCGTGAGGGTGTGTGGCCTGAAGTTTCTAATTGTGAGTTTGCAGCTAAAGATAGACGATATTCCTCTGATGGGAACTTACCACAGAGAAGTGGTGGAGATATAGTGAACCATCTGAATGAAGGGCAGAGGGTCTGAAGAAGCTCCGCAGCTGCTGCACACACACTGACACACACAAACCAGAGGTCAGCAACACATACTGCACACATGAAGACAAAACTATGAAATAAAACAATAAGTGATGTGATAAATAAATCTGCAGGTACTCTGAATGGCTCCTCTCATGTAAAAATGTTCAAAAATCTTCATAAATAGCTTTTTATATCAATTTCTTCTGAACATGTTAAAGCTAAAAGTACTCTGAACACTAAATCACAACAAACTGTGTTTGAAGGTTTTTTTATTATTATTATCTCTCAAATAAAAAATAAAAAAATAAAAAAATTAAATGAATATATAAAATAAAAAAAATTAAAAATAAAAAAAAATTAAAAAAAAAAAATTTAAAAAACAATTAAAAATAAATAAATAAAATAAAATACAAATCCTTAGCTGAACAACTCAGAATCTCAGTTTAAAAAAATATCAAGAACACAGCAGCTCGTCTGTGCCCTCTGTACTGTTGAGTTCAGAGTTTTATGGTCAGTAAGGACAAAGATCTAATAAAAACCAACAGTGTGATCCACTTTCATGTGAAACTTGTTAAAAATCAGTCTCAAGATTTAACGAAGATAGATGCTTTTCATTGTCTGCTTTGATAGTGACTAATCAAACTATGCTAACTGCATCTGGTTGCAGAGAACCAAAAATGGATCAACTAGCATGAAAAATATTTTTATTGTTGAATTAAATTTTAAGAAATCATCACGGGCCTCGTGTACAAAGACTTTGGAGGATTTCCTACTATAACATGCGCACGCTTAAATCAACAAATCAGTGTATGCACAAATAAATCCAAATGTATGAAACTGCGTAGGCACGAATCCAAGCACACTTAAATCCCAATCAACATGGAATTGAGCACACGAGAGAATACTGGACTCCTCCCTCGGCACGCCTCCATTTAAATATGCAAATCGATTTACAGTAAATCTGCCCTGCACCTGAGGAACCTCCTTTCTGCACTATCTTAAAACATGTCGCGTGGAAAAGAGGAACTTCACAGAATGTGAGTTGGAGACGCTTCTAAATGAGGTAGAGGCTCATAAAAACATTTGTTTGGCACATTGCCCTCTGGCATTAGCAGCAAGTACAGGAGGAGTGAGTGGGACAATGAGTGTGAAGTTGTAAATGCTGTGGGGTCAGAACAGCGCACCCTAAGTGCACCCCCACAGAAATTAAGAAAAAAAAAAGTCAGATGTCAAGATGGATGTGAAACGGAGAACGACCGCCCACCGCCACTTACATGGACTACACTGTTAATGAAAATGACTGAAGAAAAGTGTGAGATGTTTCACACTTTACGAACATGATTACTGTAACACGGAGACAATCAGGGGCTTGGTAGAACGATAAGAAACTGTAGTTTAACCAGTAAAAAACAGGAAGTCACTCACTTGAACCATTGTCTAGTAATGATAAGGTGAAGACTGGATATGTGGGGGCGCAGATGCTCCATGCGTATCAGGGAGATTAAAATTAGGATGATTAAATGAATTTACTCACCAAGAAGCCCCCCCATCCTGCACTGCACCAGCTTGTAGTCTGTTCCCAACCATGCAGTTAATCGTGCATTGAACCAGGCCACCTCGCCACAACGCTGGTTAGTTGTTTATGTGCATCACATATAAATTTAATATTGATTGAATGAAAATGCTTCCTGTTAGCTTAAACGTATTCATCCTTTGGTTATGCTTTTATAGCTATGTGTTTACAGTCAATGACTCCGATTATATTAGAAAAACCGTCTGTCGCTGCAAATTGTGCTTTAATGTTGGCCTTTCAACTGCATTGTGGGGAATTTGATATACCTGGTTTATATATGAATCATTCCATCTCACACAGCTGGCATGGCTCAGCTTAGGGTGGACTGGTACAGTCCCAATGGGTCTGCCAGCTTCATCTGGAATGCCCTTATTGCTAGGAACCCCAGTATGGTCAGCAGCTGTATGTGTACGGGCAGCACACAACTCCTCGCTGTGTCGCTCTCCAAGACCAGCCGCAGCTCCACGCACAGTTCCAAAAAGATTGACCTTGGAAGACAAATGGCTGAAGAGCCAGCCGTCATCGTGGTCCAGAAAATCCTCTGTCTTTAAATGCACAGTCTCTGCGTATTGCACCATTTGTCATGTCTTCTAATAACCTATTGTTGTTAAAGACAACTTCTGCTCCACTTAGTGCACACTTTTATATCCACTCATCTAATTGCATACATTTGGATGTATTAATTGATCATCGTGTGTGTCCAATGTGTACAATAATAGTTTTCACATCATTAGTTTCCCAGTATCACCTCTTAAGTGTCGCCAATAGATCAGTAACCATAGAAATGTGTGTACACCAGCCATGAAGTTGGTGTGGGGCTGCGCACATTTCCACAGTCATTTCATTCTTGAAACGTCTGAAGTTTTGTGTGAAAAATGTCGTACGCCAAGTTTACACACACTTTGTACATGAGGCCCCAGCTGATTTTATACAGGAGAGGGTAAAGTTTGATTCAGTCACAAAACAAAGCACTAATGGCCTGGCTGCATGTTACTTTGCACTGTGTTTATATCTACTTTGCTTTAAGAAAGATAACCAATGATGTGACTGAACCTGAAAGAGGATTAAGAACAAACCACTTGTGTCTAAACTGCAGATAATGAATATCTTAAGTATTTATGAATCAAACTGTTTATTTCTAATGAGTGTTGGTCAAATGATAGTTTAAGGAAGCACTGGAATAAATTATTAAAGTTGGGGCGGCTGTGAGATCGGTATACTTTGTATTAGACCTGCTGCAGGTGAATGAATCCTGCAAAAATACACATTGATGAACCTGACCTGGAGCTTTTCTGATAATTTCCTGAGTGTAAAGTCTGAGCTCACTTCGCTGTTGTAAACTGGCGAGATGAGTACTGAAAATTCTCTGAGTTTTTTAGGACAATTTAAGTTTTTACATCAATCCCAATAATTACTAAACAGATAGAAGCAGTTAAATCTCTCTACGTCTCCTAAAATCAGCAGCAAGGACGCAGCTCCACTGATATTTCAAAAGATTTCAGTACATCTCATCAACATGTGAACAAATAGTGAGACCAGCTGTGTTGTATGGTCTGAAGACAGTAGCACTGACACAAAAACAGAAATGGAATAAGCAGAAATGAAGATGTTGATGTTCTCCTTATGAGTGACAAGGATGGATAAGATTAGGAATGAGATCATCAGAGGTACAGCACAGGTTGAACAACTGGGAGATAAAAGTTCAGAGGCCAGACTGAGATGGTTTGGACATTTCCAGAGGAGGGACAGTGGTTTGGACATGTCCAGAGGAGGGACGGTGGGTATATAGGTAGAAGGATGTTATAAATACAGCTGCCAGGAAAAAGACAAAGAGGAGATATATGGATGCAGTTAGAGGGGACATGGAGGTAGTTGGAGTGAGGACAGAGGATGCAGAGGACTGAGATGGAGGAGGATGACAGACAAACCTAAAGTCATAATAGTGACAGCTGGAAGTTTTGTGAGATGTTTTGGTTTTCATTTGACCTCTGCTGCACAGAAGAACTCTGTCTCACCTGTTCAAAGAGCGTCATGGCGAACTTCTGATGAGGGATGCAGTGTCTGGCTGTGCAGATGTCTTCTTTGCTCTCGTCTGAGATGTGGAAGTGGATCCTCATCAAGATGTTTTCCTGCAGAACATGAAACTTAAATAATGACCTGACGGATCAGGTTTCAGGTTTCTTAGTTTGGGGACTTACGAAGCACTCAGCAGCGTCGTCCATGATGCCAAGCTGAAACCTCCGCTCGTTCTTGAAGGTTTTGGCGAGCGCGCTGCGCAGAGCATCGGATGGCAACACTTTCTCACTGCTGTACTGGAACTGAGCAAAGATGCTCTGAGGGAGAAGATGAAATGGAGGTGAAGTGGGTGAGGCTGGTTCAGAGTCTGACTCGGGTATTAGACCATTTCTCACCTTCAGAGCGCAGAAAATGCACGAGTCCTCCATGCACTTATGAGCAGTGAGCTGACGGAAACTACGTCGAAAGATGTCGAGGTGCCACAGGACCTAAACACACAAATACAAGACGTCACTTAGAAACAATCTTCTAAAAATAATTTCTAATTTCTAAAAATATTTAATCTTCGAAAAATAATAATAATCCTACAATGTTATAATACAAATTAAAAATTTAGGCCAACAAAAATTCCAGCAAAGAAAATTTGCATGTTAAGCTGGAAAAATAAAAATATTTTTCCCAAACAGAAAATATGAAATATTTAATACTCAAGTTGATTCACCCAAAACCTGAAAAATAAGAAATATCCTTAAAAACCAGTGTCCATATGTTTTATAATCCTCTTTTCTGTCAAAAAAAAAGCGCTACATTTTTCTCCAGCTTTCTCACAGTCCTGATGGTTCAGAGTTGCACAAGCTGCTCAGATCGACTGTTCAAATTCCTAAACATGATCAATTTATATAATCTGTTGGCCAATTATTTGTCTCCACTTCTGCTGACCAGAGCCCAAACAGACCAACCACAGACCAGATTGAGCAGAAGTTATGAAAGTAAAGAAGAAGAGCATGTGACGGTGTCAGACTGCATTCATCTGCTTCAGAAAAACCACCTGAAGTCCAGACAGCTTCAGACGAGATGATGGGAGATGGAGTGTGAGCGCCCCGAGGAGGAACTGCTTTACTTTTGTTTGTTTTAAAGAGAAAACGTGACAAATATACACATGTAAATTGTTAAGCACGTGTCAGAACAATATTTCATGTTTCAGGACTCACAAAACCAGACAAAATAATTCACTGCAACAAAGAATATATGAGAAATGTATGAATTTATGTAGCGACTGTGTTAGCTTTTTCTTAGTCACAGAATGTGTTAAAAGTTATGGAAATGACAAAATAATGAGCATCACAACAACAGCAAGAAGAAAAACCTTAACAGAAATCTTAAAAACTACAGAATACATTTAGCCTGCAAAAGAACATGACTTTTCTTTGTTTGTGCTTTAACAGTTAAATCTTTATTATTATTATTGTAACAGAAAGTGGCATAAAACATGATAAACAATATTACGAAATGAGGCACATTTTACACCAGTTGAACTATGATATAGTAATATAGCAATCTAATGCAATGGCACAGACAAGAAAATAAGTTGTTTAAATGTCGATCTTAATTTGTGACCTTCACCTTGAAGCTGGGAGATGAAAAGATTATGCGACACCCTAGTGATGGCACAAATGTGTATAAAGTTTCATTAAATTACTTTGAGCAGATCAGAAGTTATGGTCCAGACAAGTAAAAAACTGGTTTTAAATTGACCTTATGTGTGACTGACCTTGGAACTAGGGTGATGAAAAGTATGTGCAATGCTTCATCTAGTGATGACGCATATGTGTATGAAGTTTTATTACGTATAGGCTTCGCCCTTTAAGGGCTGTCGCTGGTGGGTTAAAGGCGCTTTAAACCCACCAGCGACAGCCCTTAAAGGGCGAAGCCTATACTCA